TTTGAAATTAAATTTCAATGATTAAATTAATTAAAGAAAACAGCCAAATGAACGTGCATATATTGAAAGATGTAGTTTCATAAAGCACTTCCCGATTTTCTACTTAAAAAAAATTAAAATTAGTGTTTTTAAGTGACAACTTGTATTTAAAGAAAATCTCTACTTTTGTGTGAAAAACGTTTTTTACTTTTCGTGTTACACAAAAGTACTTATTTTATCAAACACTATCCATCTTTACTTTTCAAAATCATTTTTTCTCAAACACTATAAATTTTTACTATTAAACACTTTTTCCAAAATCAATTTGAAAAGTATTTCTTTAGTTCTTTTAATGGCCCTGTGCACTTTTGTTTATTGAGCTTCATCCCATGGTCAATCGAAATTGGAAGTAGAAGGTTGTACGGAGTATAATAATAACTTAATAAGTATATATAAACACTCATAAATAAGAAAGGGGCCAACGGTTAAAGATTGAAAACGACTTCTTTGAAGGATTTGAATTTTTATCCATTTCCTGCTATACTATTGATGGAAAAAGTAAACTGAAAACCAGCAAGCGATCAACAAAAGAAAGCCTAACCAGGTTTCTTGTTTTGGAAATGGATAGCTGGCCGAGCTCTGTACAATTTAATGTTGAGATATATTACCCGAAATAGGATTACAAGAGTTTGAAAATTCCAAAACAGGATTGCCATGTTTTTTATTCCCAAAATAGGACTTATTACTGTCATGTTTTGGCAGTATCAGACTTCAAACATGACAGTATTTTCCAAACTTGGCAGTAATTACTCCTACTTTGGGAATAAAAACATGACAATCCTATTTTGAAATTTTCAAACTTTTTTAGTCCTATTTCGGGAACTTTCCCTTTAATGTTGGATCATCATATTCTCAAGACTAGTTGTAGTGGTGCCGGATTAGGCGTCTAAAATGTTAAGACAGAGTTTTAGACTCAGTAAATTCATATAGTGATAGGCTAAATGAGGTACGTAGTAAAAGTGAGAAAATGGATTCAGGGTGGTAAATACGGAGGACGCAAAGGCTCCCAAGGATAAAAACAATGATGAACATCCGACCAGGGGCGGAGCCAAGGGGGTGTCCGGGTGGTCAGCTGACCTCGCTGAAAGTTCAAGAATGTAGAGCTCTGAAATACCTCCGATTTGATATATTATGGGTCCTGTAACTCATTACGAGTAAAAAGTTATGACTTCTGGAAAAACCAGCACCATCTTAACTTGAAATAAACAAAAATTTGATGTGTGACGTTGATTATATTTTTAAATTTAAAAATAAAACACCTTATTCAGTCATTAGTTGTGTGAACATTATGATACATTACACATATATCAATACATATCATTAACCGAAAAATTGTCATTAAACTACCATTTATCTCAGTTACATATGAAACATTTAACTAAAGTATTGTATAATAACTATCCATTTTAAAATAGTATATTTCGTATAATTTTATAAATTCCGACTCCCTCACGCATTTTTCTGGCTCCGCCCCTGTGAACATGCGTGGATGAGAGCAGGAGAAAGGAAAGTGTGCAGGTGTGTCCATCATATAAAAAAATTGTTTTGTTTAAATGTATTACGAGTATTTTTTTTAATCCAAATTTTATATTGAAATAACTATCAAAATTCTTGGACTTTTATGATCTTTCGTATGATAGCAATATGTAATATATAAAATAAAAAAAAAATCTGAAGTTTTAATTGTTGAAGTTTTCTTGAGTCTAAAAAACACGAAACACAAATTTTAAATTCATGGAGCCTTCACAAATAACCGAATATTCCATAATCGAATTTTAAATGAACTAAGTTCATTTCTTTGTTCACCAAAAAGCGTAAAAAAATAATAAAATTTATTTATTTCATAATTATTCAGTGAAAATATATAAAGGAAAACATTACTTATGATAATTTAATTAATATTTTGATAAATTGATATGTACAAAAATATGTTGAGTATATTTTATTGACGGTGCTGGAATGGAGATGGATAGGGTTCAAAATACTGTTTTTATATGGACGGAGTCCATTTTTGACATTTTATCATCCACACCTCTCCAAATGGTCTTAGAACGAACTTCAAACATTATTGCAGGCTAATAACTTATTAATATCTTTCACTCCAAACTTTACAATGGTGTGAGAAAATGCCCCAAATTTGCATCTCAAATTTAAATAAATTTTATTTAAAGTTATATGGGCACCCTGATCACATGTTTGTCTTCATAAATTTAAATTTAGTGTTAAGTAAATATTTTAAATATAGTTAGCATATTTAATAGCCGCAATGATTTTAAATTGGTATTTCCTAAGACACGATTTAATTTTGACGAGTTTAATGTTTTGAATAACTAACATTAACAAAATTAATTTCCTAACAATTATTAGCCGTGCGAGTGTTCATCACATGCATGGCAGTAAATGAAGAAATGGTGTCTAAGTCTCTATACTATACAGGGAAAAAGCCAAAAACGGGGTAGAAATCATCTTTCGGTCTTTCCTGATGAATTGCACATGCATAATTGGTGCCATTATGCCCACTATGGCAGGGTAGTCTATTTTAAACTTAAAGATAGCATCATCGTTCTGTTCGAGATAGGAGATGTTTGGCTTAATCCTGCTAGTGGGGATCGGATACTTCTTTTTGGAGAGGAGCTAGTGTGTTCTCGAGGATGGAGGTTCCAAATTTCCAATAGGTGGCAAATAATGTAGAGATAAAGTTGCAAAACAACGGAAAAGTGCACATAGACCGTACATAATATAGACCAATTTTTTTGCGATGGCCGCATAACTGTCGTTAGAAACACCATTAATCACATATTTTTATTTACCACATACAAAACTGTGGTAAAAGGTCAGAGACGACAGTTTTTAACCGTGGCCAATGTTTTTACCACGGATGTTGTGGCGACGCACGTAAAACTGACGCAAAACTGTCGTAAATGTTCCTCCTTATGGTTTTACGAAAGTTTTGCGACAGTTTTACGTGCGTCGGCACAACAGCTGTGGTAAAAACCTTGGCCACGATTAAAAACAGTCGCCTCTAAGATTTTACCGCATTTTTGTGTGTGGTAAATAAAAAAATGTGTGGTGAATGGTGTTTTTAGAGACAGTTATGTTGTCATCGCAAAAAAAAAAAAAGTGGTCCATGTGCAGTCTATGTGCACTTTTCTTGTAGTGAAAACGCTCTCTTTTCTTTTTAATCTAAAACTCGTGCACACATCTGTAGTGTTTGTGATTACTTCTACTTTAAAAAAGTGATTTGTAAGGTGATTTTTGAAAATGTGTTTAATATTAAAAGTTCGTAGATTTGTCTATTTGAGGGGGAAAGTATTTTGGAAGAATAAACTTGGTACTACTTAGTAAAAAATATTATGTGACAAAAAAATGAAAAGTAATTTAGAGCTTCTCATATGCTTCCACTTTTAGCTTTAAAAGTTGTCACTTAGAAAACTCCATCGCACCAATTGCAAATTCTTAATCAAAAGTTTCAAAAGCACTTTTTCAACAATGGGCAAAGTATTCCCATTTCACCGATCTAAAGTATTCCCGTCCCTTTATCTGCATCCCATTTTATCTTACGATGTTTTCTTTTCGATTAAAATTTGCTGGTCTGGTCTGGTCTGGTCTATTTAAATCTGGTCTGAACTGGTCTGGTCTGGTCTGGTAAACATCTGGTCTCTGTGTATTTTATAACTACGGAAGTCTGGTCTGGTCTGGTCTGGTCTGTTAAAGTCTGGTCTGGTCTGGTCTGTTTAAGTCTGGTCTGGTCTGGTCTGTTCAAGTCTGGTCTGGTCTGGTCTGGGACTGAAAACAGTCCAAAAGAAAACATTCTTACTAAATTTGTCACATATTATATTTGATAAAAATTGAGTGGTTACAATGCAATTTCACTTGATTTAAACTTTATCAATTTAATATTAATTACACAATTTCAGTTTCCTTAATAATCACACTATTCATCATTTTACTAGGAATGTTAGATGAATTGAATGAAAGTACTAATTTAACATATATTTATATGACCACTTTTCTCAAAGATTTAAATGCAATTGGACAATGCTAGTGATGTGCTACAACCATCTAGAGTAGCAGTGGCACCACATATATATGTCTAAAATACATCATTACATTTTTTGAGAGAGAATGGATAACGGGGTTTATATTGGTAACATATACTGATATACGTAGTACTAATCTCAAGGCTATAATGAAGGATAGCTATATTAGGGACTAAAACCCATTTAAGAGATCAAACAATACTAGGAAAACAAAATCGTGATATGGTTACCTTATCACAAGTGAAAATTTGCCTCAATTAATTCCGGTAAATTCAATATTAATTCATTATATTCTAAAATGAAATAAGGATCTGTAAATGAACACGTATCATCTCTAACATATCTCTGTACCCATATATTTCATTCCAGTTGCATAGAGATATAAAATAATAAAATGATGTTGTGTTATTGAGAGGACTCACATGTTTGTGGAGGCACGATGAGTTAAAAAATTTGTACGGTGTTTCGTATTTCTTCAAATACACCTAAAAATAACATTATCCTACATGCTCATTTCATTTTTACTAACCGAGAAAAGTAACAAAAAAAAACAAAAATTTAATTTTTTTAACTTCAAATAATTTCATAACTATTATGAAAAAAAATTATAGGAAAACATCACTTATAATAATTTAATTAATGTTTTTACTAAATTCAAATGTAATAAAAGTATGTTGAATGTATTTTATTGGTGGTGTTAGAATGCAAGAAAAAAACGTTATTAACGAAGTCTATACATTATTTTCATATCGACCGAATTTATAATTAAGCTTATATAAGTTGCACCGATATGGATAGCCTGAGAACTATCGATGTTTTGTCGAGTAGACTTTTGCAATTTAAAATCACGAGAAGAAGCGTATGCCTTGCTTAAGACTCATTGTTTTAGTTGGGACCTTAGGTTGTTGGGTGCACAAAATGGGAACTAATTCAAACCTTGGGTAGGTTAGGGAAGATAATTCAATTTGGATGTTAATATCAAATTAAACAAGGGCGGGGTAGGTTCTAAATTTAGGATAGGACGATTCTTAAAATAGTAATCTGCCACCTGGTCCAACTTTTTATGATAGCTCGTTCAAATTATCATTCTCATATAATATACATATATGGTTATTCAGAGACATGAAAATGGCACTAAGCTAATTCAAATTCACAAATGAAATACAAAAATTAAATGAAGATCAACTATAGGTTATCAAAGTGTGCAAATTCCGCTACTTTCTTGATAACTTAACACAGATTATATAAAATGAAGTGCACAACAGATTAATCATGCCCAAGCAAAAAAAAAAAAACATATTAATCATGCCCAAGCAAAAAAAACATATTAATCATGCCCAAGTACGTAATATGATATGCACTAATTAGTAGTGCATAAGTGTATGTTTTTATGTTTGATTTGTGTGGATTGTTTACCGTTTTATTTAGTTTGTAAACATTTGTGTGATTTTAGTTGTAATTGTATTTTAATCTTCATTTGTAAGTTGTAAAGTAGAGTTAGGAATTAGGGTGTTGAAAAGGAGGACTTTGAAGTGAAGAAAAAGGTGATAAGTGTGCCCAGGAGCACAAACCCGGTCGGGTCAGACCATGCACCCGGTCGGGTCTGATGTAAAATCCGAAACTGCCTGGAAAATCATCAGACCCGGTCGGGTCCCCTACTTGACCCGGTCGGGTCAGACTTGACCCGGGACACCAGAACGTGCCGAAGATCGCCAGAACGTGGAGGATATCTGATTTTGACCGGACCCGGTCGGGTAAGCACCTAACCCGGTCGGGTACCCGGCCCAAGGTGTTGAAAAACACCTATAAATAGCCCCATTTTCCTTCACAAAGAATAACTCCTTCTTCCATACTCTTAAGCTCAGTTTAGAATAGTATTTCTTTTATATTTTTATAGCATGTTTAGTCTCCAAATGAGGTGCTAAACTTCCATTTCTTGGTGTTGCTCTTGAAGCTTGTTGATTATTAAAGTTGTGAGTTATTTTCTTAACTTCTTCCCTTGAATATTAATTATTCTCTTAATCTATCTATATATTAATGTTGGGAGTGTTGCTAAGATGACAATTAGTTAACATCTCGACATTAGTTATAGTAGTATTTATTTTCTTCCTCTATATATTAATGTTGGGGAGTGTTGCTAAGATGACAATTAGATAACATCTTGACATTAGTTATAGTAGGATTATTCATATTTAATCTTCTTCCTTGAATATTAATTCTTCCCTTAATCTATCTCTATATTAATGTTGGGGAGTGTTGCTAAGATGACAATTAGTTAACATCTCGACATTAATTACTACTAGAAACGATCAACGAACCGATGGTTAATCATTGACGGTTTCACAAGTAAGTAACTTCGGTTTATTAATGCACGGTCGTGGTTAATGAACTTAAGAGGGATTAATTTTGTTGGTTAAACCGAAACCGTTGTGTTGAGGTTATCAATCTCAATTGATTTCATCAAGGAGTTAAGAGATTAAATGCTACTATTAAGTCGGTATATGGCGGTGTTCTATACTTGACTAATAGTAAGGGTTATTAATGAACGGTCGTTGTTAATAACTACTCTCGATGAATTGGATATACTCCTCGATTGAGTATTCGAGAGGGAATAAACTATAGATATAACAATGATCGACTAAAATATATCAACAAGTGGAAAGTAGCAATGCCAAGTCTTTTTTATCTTTGAATTAAATCACATTTAAGTTGTTCATCTTTAATTTCTGTTTAATTAAATTAAATCATTCAATCCTAAACCCCCCTTTTTATTTACTAGTTCTATAAAAAGAGAATTATTCATTTCCCTGTGGATACGAACTCTACTACGCTATACTACGAATTAGTGTTAGTATTGAATTTATTTTGACGCACCGTGACAAAGTGCACGTCAAATTTGGCGCCGTTGCCGGGGAAAGGCAATTATTTTTCTTTTTATTTTATCTCATAAAAATCAAAAACAAAAAAAAAATAAAAAAAATTATAAAAAAAAACTTACTCTTCTATTTTCTGAGCTTACATGAGTTATGAGAATATGGATACCGATATAACATCCTTAGAGAGTCAAATTTCCACTTTGACTTCTCTAATAAAGGAATTTATATTAAACTCAAAAGCTCAAGATGTCGAGACATGCAACATTTGCATGTCTCACAGGCATCTTACGGATTTTTGCCCGAAGCTCCAAGAAGAATACTTCGAACGAATCGATGATGATGTTGGTTTCCAAGGGAAGGAACCTCACATGAGGTATGATCCGTTCTCGACCTCTAACATGTCCACGGAAGACATTATTCTGACTCTTGCTACCAACATGACCACCATGCAACAAAACATTGTGGAATTCCAAAATGAGACCAAGTCTAGCATTTTAAACTTGGAAACTCAAATGAGTCAAATAGTTGAAGCTGTGAGTAGACTTGAAGCAAGAGATTCAGAAAAACTTCCTTCTAAAATAGAATGTGATCCTAAACAGCAAACTTTTGCAATCACTTTGACAAATGAAAAGGAAATGCAAAAGGAGATCCAAAATCCAGAAGAAGTAGAAGAAGTAAAAGATACGGAGCTCCAACTGGTCAAAGAAGAGGATAAGCCGAGCTTCAAATTCAAATTTTTGTCATTGTCATCCTTTGAGGTATCTCCATCATTTCTGGAAGCTTTAAGAGAAACTCATAAACTTGAAAATGACAATGACATTTCCGAAATCTTCTTCAAAATTGAGGGGTCGAAAAACTTTTCATTGACCATGCTAAACGATAGTTTCTTCCCCTCCCTCCCACATGAATCAATGAAAATCTGGATATTTGATCCTGGAAAGATTTTCAAAGTGAAGAGTCGGAAAATTGAGCATTCCTATGTAAGTCCTAGAAGTGAAAATGTGAAGAAGATGAATTATCACCATCCAAGCTTGAACGATTGAACACAATGATGGCGTCGTGCCGCGACGTTAAACGAGGCGCTTCTTGGGAGGCAACCCATGTAAGGTACGTTTACTTTTTGTTCTAGTTTAAGTTTACACTTCAAAAAAAAAAAGTGAAGCCTGGGGAACATACCCGGCCGGATACCACACTACACCCGGTCGGGTATAGCGTAAAAATACCATACCCGCACAACTCGCCCGGGCGAGGCAGCTAAGGAACAGAGAAAAATAGACACACCCGACCGGGTACCCGGCCGGGCAACCCTGCAAAAAACTCTCTGCCTCGGGTGAACAGTTTACGCCCGACCGGGTCATTCACTATACCCGGCCGGGCGGTCGGGAAAAATCCCGATCAGGAGGCGGGCGGGCAGCTTTCTTCCTCACTTTCTTTTCCCCATTCGAACCGAACCCCAAATTTCCTCCATTTCCAAGAGTCCAAAGCTTCATATCTCCTACATCCATCCACCAAATGCATCAAGTAAACCCAATTCATTCATCTCCTCTTCACCCTCTTCATCTCCACACCCACAAATCACCAACAAAACCTCCCAAAAGTACCAAAAAAAAAACGCATTCATCTCATACACAAGCACTAGGGACAGTGCTTTGATTAGCTTGGGGGGAGAGTTTTATGGAATTTTCACATTCATACTCTTTATTCTTGTTTTAAAAAAAAAAAAAAAAAAGCTTGTTAAGTTGAAAACCTGAAAGGGCAACTTAAGCAAAAATAAAGCAAAAATAAGAGTGAGTTGTGAGGATTGAAACAGAAAAATGTGGGAAGCTGGGATGAAAACCCGAAAGGGCACCTAGGCAAAATGAGAGAATGAGAGAAAGTATTTTCTTTTCTGCAGGATCCTAAGGGTAACGAAAAAAAAAATGAGGTTGATAAGAAATATGGAGTTAAAGACCCCTCTTTACTGTTATATTTTGGGGGATATTTTTTGTTATTCTAAAAACACACGTGGATGTTGGTGTTGATACTCTTGTCAATTTAAGGACTTCTTGGACTGGATTTGGTTTACTCGAGACGAGTAAAGGTTCAAGTGTGGGGGTGTTTGATATGCACTAATTAGTAGTGCATAAGTGTATGTTTTTATGTTTGATTTGTGTGGATTGTTTACCGTTTTATTTAGTTTGTAAACATTTGTGTGATTTTAGTTGTAATTGTATTTTAATCTTCATTTGTAAGTTGTAAAGTAGAGTTAGGAATTAGGGTGTTGAAAAGGAGGACTTTGAAGTGAAGAAAAAGGTGATAAGTGTGCCCAGGAGCACAAACCCGGTCGGGTCAGACCATGCACCCGGTCGGGTCTGATGTAAAATCCGAAACTGCCTGGAAAATCATCAGACCCGGTCGGGTCCCCTACTTGACCCGGTCGGGTCAGACTTGACCCGGGACACCAGAACGTGCCGAAGATCGCCAGAACGTGGAGGATATCTGATTTTGACCGGACCCGGTCGGGTAAGCACCTAACCCGGTCGGGTACCCGGCCCAAGGTGTTGAAAAACACCTATAAATAGCCCCATTTTCCTTCACAAAGAATAACTCCTTCTTCCATACTCTTAAGCTCAGTTTAGAATAGTATTTCTTTTATATTTTTATAGCATGTTTAGTCTCCAAATGAGGTGCTAAACTTCCATTTCTTGGTGTTGCTCTTGAAGCTTGTTGATTATTAAAGTTGTGAGTTATTTTCTTAACTTCTTCCCTTGAATATTAATTATTCTCTTAATCTATCTATATATTAATGTTGGGAGTGTTGCTAAGATGACAATTAGTTAACATCTCGACATTAGTTATAGTAGTATTTATTTTCTTCCTCTATATATTAATGTTGGGGAGTGTTGCTAAGATGACAATTAGATAACATCTTGACATTAGTTATAGTAGGATTATTCATATTTAATCTTCTTCCTTGAATATTAATTCTTCCCTTAATCTATCTCTATATTAATGTTGGGGAGTGTTGCTAAGATGACAATTAGTTAACATCTCGACATTAATTACTACTAGAAACGATCAACGAACCGATGGTTAATCATTGACGGTTTCACAAGTAAGTAACTTCGGTTTATTAATGCACGGTCGTGGTTAATGAACTTAAGAGGGATTAATTTTGTTGGTTAAACCGAAACCGTTGTGTTGAGGTTATCAATCTCAATTGATTTCATCAAGGAGTTAAGAGATTAAATGCTACTATTAAGTCGGTATATGGCGGTGTTCTATACTTGACTAATAGTAAGGGTTATTAATGAACGGTCGTTGTTAATAACTACTCTCGATGAATTGGATATACTCCTCGATTGAGTATTCGAGAGGGAATAAACTATAGATATAACAATGATCGACTAAAATATATCAACAAGTGGAAAGTAGCAATGCCAAGTCTTTTTTATCTTTGAATTAAATCACATTTAAGTTGTTCATCTTTAATTTCTGTTTAATTAAATTAAATCATTCAATCCTAAACCCCCCTTTTTATTTACTAGTTCTATAAAAAGAGAATTATTCATTTCCCTGTGGATACGAACTCTACTACGCTATACTACGAATTAGTGTTAGTATTGAATTTATTTTGACGCACCGTGACAAAGTGCACGTCATAATACTTCTAACAGATTAATCATTCTAGCTACTACTTTCCGGATAACTCAACAAAGATTATATAAAATGAAGTGTACAACAGATTAATCATGACCAAGCAAAAAACAAATATTAATCATGCCCAAGTACGTAATACTCCTAGCACACCTTTTCACAAATAAGATATTTTGCAGTACACAACTTATGAAGATGTGATCGAGTATATTAGAACAAACTATTGAGACGAAAATCAGCTTGCACGGTAACAAACAAGTAGTTAAAAAAAATATACCCAATACATGTTACATTATTTCAAACACAAACATTGTTTTTTACATGTTGAGTCTTAGCTTCAATGCTCGTCCAAGACTTGTCTTTTCCAGATTAAGTATATTCAAATGTGTCAACTTCAAGAAATTTTGAACCGCCCTTAAAGAATGAGAAATGTCTCAATTATTGTATATATGTGGAAGTAAATAAGTATTTATACCATAATTATTACCGTTGTCATTTCCTTTACAATGTATGCGATGGGACGAAAACCCGTACGGGGAGATCCAAAGATGGGAACTCTCAAGTCTCAAGAACAGATCGATCATCTCATCAAAGGATATCCCGATCTCGTTCACCTCATCCAACCCATGAAGTCGTTTACCTCATAGAGCTCGTTTCCGTTTTCGAAAATGTTACAGAAACTCTCAAAACAAACATTTTTTGAGCAAAAGTTCACGGATCCCGTTTCCTATTTTCCGTTTCCTCATGATTTTTGCGTTTCCGTGCAACATAGTAGAGCACAGAAGGAGTCGCAAAGTACATTGCCCATCCCCTTCATGTTGAGTATGTAAACAAACTTCTTCCTCAATTGGAGAAGGTCCTCGTCATAGACTACAAAACCTCTAGTTTGAACCCCAATATCTATTTTGCATACTTTTTCACGAAGTATGCAAGCAAACTTCTTGATGTCAATTTTTCTTTATTTCGGTCTTTATTTCTGGTCTCGAACTTATACCGAGATTGTTTTTTGCTAAGTGTTTGTTTTCACTGATATGATGCACTAAAGTGAGATGTGTGCATGAGCTATTCTCTATCCATATAAAATGTATGTTAACTGATTAAAAAAAGTGTAACTATTTTTTCCTTGAGGTGAACTTTCTTACGGAGCATTAAAATTTTATTTGCAATTGAGCTCGGAGCCTCTATGATGGTCAATAAGGTAGCACTAATAGAGGTATTATAAGTTAGAATAATCAATAAACAAATCAATTTTTTTATACAGTTTGGTTTAGAGGTTAAATTCGAAAAATCAAACTAGTATGATTCACTGATTTATTTTTCTATAATTAGATTTGTTTTTGTTATGATTTCATTTTAGTGTGTCTTACTGTCTTAGCTTCGTGCATAACTTAAAACAAGGTTTTATTTTCTATATAACTAAGTAGTCATGATCGAGTCACATTTTTTAAACAATTATTATTTTTGTTATAAATATGTAATTATTTCTTAAAATAAACTAATTATCAATCAATGATTTGGGAGGCTAAAATTGTAGACTTAACTACTTAAGGCTGATGATTGAAAATTGTCATCGTAAGATTTAGATCATCATCCATTATATCTTTTTGTTTTAAATATTACTTAATATTATTAAACTCATAAACAATGTGATAAATGTAGACGAATGTATAATTTTAGCAATATAATAATAAATACGTTATTCGATAAAAAAATAATCCATCCGTCCCGGAAAATTGTTCCCGGTTTCCTTTTTGGGTCGTCCCAAAAAATTGTTCCATTTTCCCCTTTTGGAAAGTTTTTTGTGGCTACAATTCATTTACCTTTTTCTTACTCAATCACAACCATACATTTCCATTTTATTCTCACTTTCTTAAACTCCGTTTCAAGTCAATGCAGGAACAATTTTCCGGGACGGAGGGAGTATGTTATTGAAGAAATTAAAAACTCTATTATTTCAAGTTTTTGATTGATAACTTTCAAGCATTCCAACCTTAAGAGATATAACGATATACTTCGTATAACAATTGGGATTTATACTCCCAACTAGTGATTTGATCGCGCGATGCGCGAGAAGATAATGCCCAATTTTAGGTGTTAGAATAGATTTTTTTTACAATAACATATTTAAGAGTGAAATTTGAGTGAAAATGCAATATTGTTTCTAAAAGTGGGATAAGTCATACTCGTAGAAAAAAGAACTTAAGGTACTGGAAGTGGAAGTGGAATACTGGAATGTGAGTGTGATATTTAAAAAAGAACTTATGTAGTGAGTGTAAGGTACTATCTTCATAATATGCAGCATGCCAAAAGTGAGTGTAAAGTTGTAACACCCCGGCCCCGCAGGCCCCGAGGTAGTTACTCCGGACCAATAGTACTGTCCTCACAAACCACCACGAGCCTTTACCGCGCACTTTGTCCTCACTCATGCGCGCCCTGAGAAACTTCCCAGGGGGTCACCCATCCCAAGACTACTCCCGTGCAAGCACGCTTAACTTTGGAGTTCTTGGGTGATGAGCTCCCTTAAAAGGAGATGCACCTCTGTTGGTATGAGTAGTACTATTAATCCGTTTATATTAAATCTCAAGTGTTACAATCACCCCCACTTAGGATCGCAACGTCCTCGTTGCGCCCTTGAACCAATCTCAAATCTCAATCAAATCCCAGGATCTTCCCCCGCTAAGTGCCCGCCCGATATCCAACGGGTCATCACACTGTCGCGGGGTTGCTCTGATACCACCTGTAACACCCCGGCCCCGCAGGCCCCGAGGTAGTTACTCCGGACCAATAGTACTGTCCTCACAAACCACCACGAGCCTTTACCGCGCACTTTGTCCTCACTCATGCGCGCCCTGAGAAACTTCCCAGGGGGTCACCCATCCCAAGACTACTCCCGTGCAAGCACGCTTAACTTTGGAGTTCTTGGGTGATGAGCTCCCTTAAAAGGAGATGCACCTCTGTTGGTATGAGTAGTACTATTAATCCGTTTATATTAAATCTCAAGTGTTACAAAAGTTAGCGAAAATGAATGTAATGGTAAATAAGTTTCATTTAAGTGAAAATATAAAATGCATTAATCCATTATAATAGTCATATTGTCATTACATAGGCAAATTATATCAACAACGATGAAGTCTGTGGAAATAAAATGTTTATTGAAGGAGATGCAGGGTAAAGTCAAATGAAAGGAACAATGATAATTAAAAGACAATGTATGGTTTCATGTAAAAAAAACTAAAGCATTGATAAGTTGACATGCGGAGTGATGATTTCATGTGAATGGCCAGCATTGGTCCTTTGATGTTTCTGTGAGGGCTGGCAATTCAGTTGTGCTTAGGCCCATCTCATTTGTGGGATTTTCTGCAACCTTTTTCGTTGGGTGATGAGAAGAGTCATGCAAATGGCAACTGTAGAATAGGAAAATAGCAAATGTGTTACTCTCTTTTGTTTGTTCTGGCAAAGGAAAAGGAATATGAGCTCTTTTAAAAGCATCAGAAGAGAAATACCAGCCTAATCAACTTTCTACTTCTCAGTTTGGTAAGTGAACGCCCTAAAGTTATCAACTTAATAGGGAGGGAGAATGTTATTAGATACATTGACATTTCCCAGGTTCTTTTTGAGCTATATGCATGGTTCTTACTACATGTCCCAATATTAATTTTAAATGACAACGGGTCATCGATACACAAGTATCGCATAACATCATACGTCGAAAATATTTTTCAGTTTAATACACTACCAATAAAATTGCATACCTTTCAGGATGGAAACTTGTTTCTGTGAAGTAAAAAAGTACCCTTGTATAAAAAAATCAAAAAAGGAAAATCAATTTTATACCATTGATATTTTGGAAACCCAACTCTCTAATAATTAACTAATATACTCTTAACTAAATTATCCACCTGCATTGATTTCAGAAAGAAAATTACATGCTTTTTCAGTCAAAAATATGTCCACCATGATAAAATTAGGACATTTCTTCTTAAGCATGGCACAATGGGACAAAAATGACAGTAAGTTGGTGTTCTCATAGATCTTTAAGCATATAATTTTAATGAACCACCACAAAATTAGGTAACAGTAAGATATTGATTGTGAAATATCATGATCTTATGAGAGGACAATTTTTTTTTCATTTCATGCTATCAGCTATAAAATGGGGAAAAGGGGTCTAATATAAAGTTTGTCTAAAATAAAAGTTAAAAACCCGTTGCACAAAAGGCATCAGCATGTTTGAAATGTGATTTAGACAGGGGCGGATCTAGGATTTCATGTTGGACTGGGCTGAAAAACTTAATTTAAAAATTTTCAAAATAAGCAAATATATATATATATATATAAGAGTTCTCCACTAAATTTGTTCTCGACGAAGCTTTGAAACAAAAAAACTCGTCAATTATAGAGTCTACATCTATACTAAGAGTATGACCTTTTTCAATATAAAGTGTATTGCAATTAACAAAAAAGTCATCATCTATTTTGTCGCGGAGTGTTGTCTTTAAAAGTTTCACGGCAGAAAATGATCATTCTATTGTTGTAGTGAAAACAATAAGATCAATACAAAGCGAATCAATATGCTGATCATAACATATGAAACAGATCTTTTGCTCTTAGTCAACTGCTCACATAATTCAACAAGTGTAGATACTCGAAACTTTGTATCATGAATCACATCATGAGCATAGTGTTGTTGCTCAAATTCAAAAGCATTACTAAAACCTTCGGGATAGAACTTCCTTGCAAGAGATTACAAATAACATCGGCATTGAATGACACATGTGAACTTTCGGGATCCAATGAAGCACTCAAAGAAAGGAGTTTGATCCATTGATTTATCATTAAACCGAGTCCTTAACTTCAACAATACAAAGTCTATTGCCTCATTGAAAACATCAAAGTGATAATGAATGCTCAACTGCAGTTTCTTTTCGGCAATGACCAACCATATATTTAGAATTCAATTTCGGTACAAGAATTTCTTTTTTGAGCAAAACTCCTTTGCTTCTTCAAGAAAGCCTTC